TGGCTGGTAGGGTCAGGGGTAGGGTGTTCGGGTTGGGGTTAGGGTTCGGGGGTTAGGGTTAGGGTGGTTAGGGGTAAGGTTAGGGTTAGGGGATTAGGGTCAGGGTGGTATGGGTGAGGGTTAGGGGGGTAGGGGGTTAGAGTTAGGGTTATCGGGGGTTCGGATTAGGCTGTTCGGGTTAGGGTTCGGGCTAGGATGGTAGGTTCCAGGGGGCAGGGTCAGGGTGGTATAGTTAGGGTTACGGTGTTAGGGTTTGGGTTCGGGGGGGGGGGTAAGGTTCGGATGGTAGGTTTTGGAGGGTTAGGGTTCGAGTTCGGCTTAGGAGGTTAGGGGGTTAGGGGTAGGGTGCTAGGCTTCTGAGTAGAGGGTCAGTGCTAGGGTTATGGCGTTAGGACTACGGTGGTAGGTTTAGGGTTCGGGTTATGGGGGTCAGGGTTAGGGTGGTAGGGTTAGGGTTAGGGTGTTAGGGTTAGTGTCATGGTGGTTCGGGTTAGGGTGGTCGGGTTAGGATTAGGGCGTTCGTGTAGGGGTTAGGGGTAGGGGGGTATGGTTAGGGGGTCGGGTTCGGGTTGGGATTACGGTTCAGCGGTTATTGGGTTCGGGGTTAGGGGTTTATGTGGGTTAGGGTTATGATGGTAGGACTAGGAATCGGGTTTGGTCTAAGATTAGTGTTAGGGGGTTCGGATTGGGTGTTAGGGTTAGGGTTAGTGGGTTCGGGGGGTTCGGGTTAGGGTAGTAGGGTTAGGATTGGGGTTATGGCGAGGACTGTAGGTGGTGTTGGGGGGGGGTTAGGGGTTTGGAGTGGGAGGTTAGGGAAGCACAGCTGAGGGTTAGGGTTGAGTTTGTGTTAGATAGGGTTTAGCGTTTGGGTTAGTTTTAGGGTCAGCATGAGGGCGAGGGTCATGGTTAGGATGAGGGTTAGGGTGAAGGTTAGTTAGGCATAGGCTTCGGGTTACGGGCTTGGGGTTCGGGATTAAGGCCACTAGCCTCGCTGGAAGCCCGTTGGACGTATCCCACCCACCCATGGCGCATGACATACAGAACTCGAGGCGTCGACGACGACGGCGATGCTCTTGCCTATCAGACAAGACGACTTATCGCCGATGTATCGGCTTTGCATCGGCGATTCCAGGTCGCTCCCTCGGAGCTGAGCCCCCCTATCGAGGCGGCCATCTCCTCGCGGAAACCCAAGGGGCCATTGTCCAGCCTCCACGTGGCGGCCCCCAGGGAAGGGTACGGGCTCGGCTCTTGACCCCCAAGGGCCGAGGTCGTGCCCGTACCCTTCGCGAAGGACAGTCTGAACGAACATTTAGCGGATGTATCGCAAGCACATCTGCCCAGGGCGCGTGCACGGGCACCCGCGCGCCGTGCGTCGAGCGGCGGCGTCACGAGCCACGGGGTCCACCCAGACGCCTCCAAGAGTTCACCGACGCAGGGGGCGCGCTTTGGAGCGCCTGGGGATGCCTGGAGCCGCTGCGGCAGCGACTGGCCGCGCCTGGGGACGCCTGGGGATCGCCCAGGAGTCGCTTGGGAAAGCCTGGGGAACGCCTGGGGAACGCCTGGGAGCGCCTCCAAGAGTTCACCGACGCGGAGGGACGCGCCTGCGCCTCAGAGCGCTCGGTGCGCCAGGGGAAGCCTGGAGCCGCTGTGTCAGCTCCTGGGCCGCGCCTGGAAGCGCCTGGGGGGCGCCGTGGGCAGCGCCCGGGCAGCGCCTGGGAGCCGCCGGGGGGCGCCACGGGCACAAGCGCGCGCAGGCGTGCACGATATCGACTCGTTTAGGACAGGGACTGCACGGGTTGGAGACGGCTCTGTTCGCCGCGGAACATTTCTTGCAAGGGATTCGGGCAGGAGGAGGAGGAGCAGGAGGAGGAGGAGGAGGAGGAGGAGGAGGAGGAGGAGGAGGAGGAGGAGGAGGAGGAGATACCAATTCTTGTGGCAAAGGATGCGGGCCGCATGGGGCCGTGGGGGCGGAGATACGGGGCGGCCGAAGGGGCGGCTGAAGGGATTCGAGAGGTTCTAGGCTCGTGATTATGACGGTTGGGGGCTTAGGGGGGTTGGGGTAGGGGGCAGGGGCCCGGAGCTGGGGTGGCTCCGGAGAAAGGGGGGTGGCGAACGCCCGGAGGGTTCCAAAGGGTGTTTTTGGGGGCAGTGCCGTTTTTAATACATGCTCCGCGTGCGGATCATGTATAACAATGCAGGTATTTAGTATTAAAAGCAACGATGAGTTCATGCATAATTTTATTCATACATTAATCATGTATTACATTCCTGTGTTTTCAAACATCCTATGTATTAAAAGCTGCCCTGCAGGTGGTTTTCCAGGAGGGGTCCCCCAGGGGCTTCGCACCCCTGGTTTTGACGAGGCTCCGAGGCCCCACGGGGGCTCCCTGGAAAGCCCCCTCCCCCCCAAACCCCCTTTTGGAACATTCCAGGAACGCCCCCCTTCCCCCTTGAAAAGGGGGGAGGGGGCTGGGGGGTCCGAATTTGGACTCCAAAGGGG